AATATTCCATTGTACGTAATTAGCACATTTTGCTTGTGTGTCATAGACACTAGGGTGGCTTCCACCTTTGGCTATTGTGAATAATATTACTGTGAACATGGGTGTATAGATATCTGTCCAAGTCCCTGCTAGGAGGATTTGCCCCAGAATAGTAGCTTCTTGAAATTTAATGTTCATGTGAATCACCAAGAGATGCCATTCCCATTAAACTACCATTGACATTCTTCACAGAATTAGACAAAACTATTTTAACATTTATATAGAACCAAAAAACAGTCTGTATAGCCAAGATAATCTTAAGCAAAAAGAACAAAGCTGGAGGCATCACGCTACCCAACTTCAAACTACACTACTAGGCTACAGTAAGGGATCGCCATTCTTGTTTCTTGTCCAATGTCTTCAAAACCACTGTTTTGTGTATTTTGTCTATTTATTCTTTTTTAGGAGAGGGTAAATCCAGTCTTTGTTACTCCATCTCAGGTAGAATCATAAGTCGCCATGTACATAAAATTTGATCTAATTTATGATGTCACATAAAAGTCTCCTTTACTTGTAACTTAAGAATAAATAATAAGGGAGAAGAAATGTTTTAATGTTCTGTTCCAGATTCTTAACTTTTGGAAAAGTGGTGCTCAAAAAAAAAATCTTGAGTGAATTCAGTGTGTGAATTTGGGGACAATTTACTTAGCAATGTTCTAATACATCTCTTTAAGGCCGTTATATGAAATAATTAATTTAATGCCCACTAACTTGAGAGGGAGGAGACTATCTTTATCACTTACTCTATGGTTGGCCAGAATCAGAGAGAGTGTGTGCAATGGGTACTTGCACAGAGAAGGTGACAGAGTAAGAGAAAGAATGAGACACAGAATGGTGGTGGGGGGGGGGCGGGGAGAGAGAGAGAGAGAGAAACAGAGAGAGAGAGAGAGAGAGAGAGAGAGAGACATCTCTGAACCTGGGTTGCCAGCCATGGTCACAACCACGTTTCCAAGGATGGCAGCTGCTCAGTGTCATTTTTCTTTAACCTTTTCTTCTCACAATAACCTGGTTCATAAAACCTTTACATAAAGAAGTACCCAAATGTTATATTTTCTTCTTCATGAATCTCATCTTTATGTTTTACCTGCAGTCACAGATACTTTGTGCTGTGGCTTGAACTGTGGCCCTACAAAATTCTTATGTCAAAGCTTCAACGTTTGGCATAATGGTACTTAAAGGTGGGGCCTTTGGGAGGTAATCAAGGTTAGATGAGGTCACGAGGCTGAGGTCCTCCTGATGGGATCAGTCCCCTTATAAAAACAAGCACCACAGATTTCTCTTTTCTCATACTCCATACACAGAGAAAAGGCCAGGTGAGGACCCAGCAAGGAGGCAGCTGCCTGCAAGCCAGGAAGAGGCCCCTCCCCAGGAATGGCCCATCCTGGCACTCTGATGCCAGACTTCCAGCCTCCACACTGGGAGAGAATAAATGTCTCTGTCTCCCAGTCTACTGTATTAATATTTGGGTTATGGCAGCCTGAGCAGACTGATACGCTCTATTTTTACAACTTCTATATATTGTCCTTCCACCATCAGTGAATCTAGCCTGTCCCGCAAGTAATTTTGTTCTTTTAGATGATGCACTGCTGTGCCTTGTGAGAAAGGAGCATGAGGAATGGTGCCCTTCTGCAGTTCTGAGATCAACCCCATGTGGTGTTCTCTGGCCAGAGCCCTTCATTGGATGTATTAGTGGGAAGGCAGGCACTTTCTTACGCTTGTCTCCAGAAAGAGGTTGGATGCCCCAGGTTGGATGAAATAGTCACTTTTCAATCTCATACCCAGTGGCACAAACAGTTTTGGAAAATGAAGTGTGCATGGACAGACAGGAGACTGAACCCTCCACACTGCAATGAATCTCCTCTGTGGATAGGGAAAACCTGGAAACCACAGATCTTCACTGCCTCATCATCTCCTTCCTCTACCACTTTCAACACCCAGGAGCTTGGACTTGCCTTCAACTGACTCTGACACGCAAATGATTTCTCCTTTTCCTCCTGCGCACTCTTTCTTTTCACAGAATGTCCATATTTTTCTCTGCTCCAGCTAGTTACTATCCAGGACTCCTCTCCCATGTGTCAGATTCAATGTGTTTCAAAAATGTGCAGCTATGATATTTTAGCTTTCAGGCTATAAACTCTTCAAAATCCTCATAAACAAATGCTGTCTCTAAAAATGTCATTGAATATTGATTCATTTACTTGATAGAGAAAACTTCCATGTCTACATACAAATTTTGAAAAATATATATTTTTTACATCGAAGCCTAATATCAACAAAAAAAAATAAATAAGCAAACATCTCAGCTGTCTGGGGGAAGAGTGCAGGAGTAAACTATCTCCCCAATTCCCAGTCTTGGAGTAGCTGCTGGTTGCGGGCAGAAGCCCTGGGCTGCCTCTTTGCAATGAACGTGGCATTAGAGGCACAGGGGCCATGCAGTGTCCCTGTGTGTGAGTGGGAGTGGGTTTGAGAGAGAAGAGTTATTAGAGGAATTCCACTGCAAACAAAGCACACATTAATAACTACATAAATTACTCAATTAAAGGTCTTTAAATACATTTGGTGAAAAATTTGATCAGCTTGGTGGTAGGAGCATGAACATTTTTGATTTTCTGTTTGTCTGTTTATATCGTTCTTTCCCTAATACAGTTTTTGGCAGTGTGATAAAGCTTCTGTTGTGTTTCTACTGAGGTACACACATGACTGAAACATGCTCCCTGCCATGCTGGCATTACCATGTGCAAATGACAGAGGCCAAAACCAATGCCCAGGTGAGATGTATGATCAGACCAGAGTTTCTTTGTGTAATGGTGATGGTGATCGCTCCTGAAACGGAAAAATCTTTAAACTGAATTGTATTTAAAGGTTTATTGAGTTTCCAGATCTTTTTTTTAAAATGAAGCAAGTAAGTGAACACTCACAGGATTTTTCTTGAAACTGTACAGTAGAAGATTGGAAGTGAGGATACTTTCCATGCAGCTCAAGATACTCCCCAGACCTTCTATGCCCAGAGAGGCTGGAGGCACTGCATGGAAGGACCAATACTTCCAGGCCCTTGCTGGAAAGCTGCTGCAGGGTACACGGAGCCCTCAAAGGATTTTAAACAAGGCATTAGCATGCTGATCAAGTCTTGTTGGCATCTCCAACTTGGGTTTTGAATTTTAGGTACAGTGGAGAAGCAGTGTTTTAGTGTTAGATTTTGATATGGTTTGGCTGTGTCCCCACCTAAATCTCATCTTGATTTGTAGCTCTCATAATTTCCACGTGTCATGGGAAAGTCCCAGTGGGAGGTAATTGAATTATGGGGGCAGATTTTTTCCCATGCTATTCTCATGATCGTGAATAAGTCTCAAGAGATCTGATGATTTTATAATGGGCCGTTCTCCTGCACATGCTCTCCTGCCTGCTGCCATAGAAAACGTGCCTTTGCTCTTCCTTCACCTTCTGCCATGATTGTGAGGCCTCCCCAGTCATGTGGAACTGTGAGTTCATTAAACCTCTTTTTCTTTATAAATTACCCAGTACTGGGTATTTCTTCATAGCGTATGAAAATGGACGAATACAACTTTCAACAGTGTAGTATTTGCTTTCTTCTCATTCTCACCCAGCTCTGGGGTGGTCGGTGCACCTTCTCTACATGCAGGTGCTGATGTTCTTCCTGGATTTCCATTCCCCAAGTGACTTCATGACCTGCAGATTCCACATGCTCCAGGTTCCCATTGAGCACCTTGACAAGTACCTCTCTTCATTTAGCAATTCAGTTCTTTATCTATTAATTTTTCGATTGTAGGAAAAGAAAGCAATGACTTTGCTCCCTATGACGTAGTCTGTGGGCACATTCATAATGGATCAAAAAAGCAGATGGTTGTTTTATATCTGACCCAGGTGCCTGTGCTCATCTGCAGCACCTGAACTGCTAACTGCGTGTGCAAATGCGCAAATCAAGACTAAGCACAAACTTATGATTGTCTGAATGCCCAAGAAAAAGTTTAATTTTAAAAAACAAGTGTTGAAAATATCAACTTTTCATACAACAGGTGATTTTTATTCAATTCTTTCAATTAAACGCATCAAAACAAATAATCAGATTCTTCCACAGGAAAAACAGCAAAGACGCTGTGATTTACAATGGTTCTAAAATGTTTTAATGCTGAGAAAAAACAAAATAGAATAAACACATTGTGGGGAAATAGGCGAATATCAAGAATTCACAAACTCAATACTTAAAATTTTTCATACTCAAGAATGTGTGACATCCCAGTTTGACTGCCAAATTTAGATGTCAATGGTGAAAAGAAAGGTTCTGTTTTATGAACTGAGGAAATTTCCGTGTTGGTAAATGAAGTCGCCACGCAAAGTTTATAATTTGCTTTCATTGGAGATTCAAACAGAGATGTGTTCTGTGAGTTCCATCATTCTTAAAATAATTTGTTCCTATTTTTAATGTTGTTTCTTCTCTTTCGTCTTTTTCAGCATAGCAAAAATTGATTAGAAAACAGATCTGCTCCTACAGCTGAAGCCTTCTCTTTTTCCACGACCAAAACGCAGTGAATGAACAGCATCACAATCCCTGAGCCCTGGAACACATTTCTTTCCCCTTTGCTTCCAGAAGAAAAATATTTAGAGGCTGACCTTTGGGAAACTTTCTCTTAGCAGGCGTCATTTTATCCTCTTGCTGAGCTACCTCCCTTTGAGCATAAACCTCATTTCTCTACCCTGTCCTTTCCATTGCGAAAAGTCTCCACAAAGTACTTCAAAAAACATGTTTCAGCCCAAGTCTTATGAGTAACCCACAACCTCATATCTGTTATGTGTAGCCAGGATAGTCACATAACTTATCAAAACAGGATATTTCTGAGAGTGAACAATGATGATATTAATAATTTTCCCAGCACAACAGGTGCAATCCAGAATTTAGAATCATCCCAGTTCTGACCAGATTGGAAGTTCTGGAAAGACTTTATCCATCAAGCCCCTGAGCATATAATCATTTATGCTTCCTTAACACAAAGCAAATGCTTAATATTTATTATCAAGATGACCTGCACAATAAGAACCCAAACCAAGCCAGATAGTGTAGAACTGGCCTGTTCAGCTGGCAGTACTAACAAACAGCACCTGCAAGAACAGGTTAGTACTAAATAGCAAATGGATCATACAAATTTAATTCTTTCCTTGATTCCAGAGTAATTTCCCCATCAGCAGCAGAAGGTGGAGAAGAAAAACCTCTCGCTCAACAGTTCATGCTCCTCTTGTCTTGGTATTGATATTAATGCCAACAAAATTAGTAATTTGACAATTAGTTTCCCACTTACCTGAGAAGACATGAAAGGGAGAAAGAAAGTATTTTAACTAGATTATAATGTGGCTCTGACAAGTCAGGATCCTGTCATGTTATAGCCTTCCAACTTTAACATTTTCATGTCTGCTTGGCAGGTTATTAAAATAAATGAGGGTGCATTGGGCTGCTGCTGTGCATTTCCCTAATGGGAGTTGAGGAATTTGCAAGCCACCAATGTAAATTGACCGATCTCAGAGACTGAAAGGATTTAGCTAAAGTGGACAATTAGGATCATTTCTGCACAGCTGAGTGAAATATTCCTTGTTATTTTAATAATTCAGGCCCAGAGTAATTTTCGGAGGCTGAGTTTGTCAAGATAATGTGCCTTGTGCTTGTCTGCTTGTCATTTTTAACTCAGTCTCACATGTTACAGGTGCAGTCTAGCTTACAAAACAGGAAAATCATTCACTGGAGAATTTGCATATGGAATACAGATACACTGCATGGAGAGAAGGCTGACCTGGAGACTGACAGGCAGCTGTGGTGTGAATGCCTCATGACGGTGAAAGTCAGGATGGTGGATGGTGCTGCATTGCTTTGTTGATGCCGCTATGAACATTATTGGGCAATATGCATAGGCAAGTGTGGACTACATTCAGCGCATTTACCTTGTGTAACCTGCACAGGTTCAGTAAAGAGATTTGTTAACACCGTGGTATTCCCTCATGGTAGACCCAAATGCTCGCTTTTAGCTCAGCTTTATCACAGAGACTGGTGGAATAATATCTTTAGCTTTTAGTAGCAAGACACACTGAGGAAATGATACATGAGTTGGAGATAGAGTAATTCTGGAACAGGAGAGGTCATCAGTGCATTTCTGCAAGTAGAAGCTTGTTTGGTCAGATAATTTGGTCTCAACAGATTAAAACATCACTTTTTATTAAAGTGATTGGTATAAAACTAGAATTGATCCATTCTGTTCATTCCATGTATTAGACGGGAACAGCCACATTAATTTGAAATCAAGAAATTATTAAAATAAAATTCTCACTGAAGGTCCCACTTCTGCCAGCCCTTTTCTTGGGTCCTATGTGCAGTATCTCTTTTAGGTGCTTACTGGGAATTGAATGACCTTTGAAGGGTATTCAGACTGTCATCTTTCCAGGAACTCCACTCAGCTCCACTGGAACAATTCTGTTTCTATCTCGTTTACTTTTTATATTTCCATAAAATAATTTAGTGGAAGATGTAATTTATACTAAATATACCATCATCAACAACACAAATATTGAAAACATTGTTATAGGAAAGAGATTTTGTAATGTAAGTTAACCTAAGATTGAAAAGACAGCCAGGATTATTAGCTAAATTTTATTTAGTATGAACTGCTTTATCACAGTAATATGTCTCTACATCTACCTAAATAAATTTATTTTAAAATTAGGTGCATGGATATATAATCTCACACAACACGCTGTAAGGCGAAGAGGTCTAAAATGAGTGGGACACTCCAAATAGATTATTTAAGGATTGCCCAAAACATTAAGTTTAAATGTTATTATGACGTCAGTAGTCTTTTGTCCTTGAACTCTTATGGAAGATGGCTTCATACAACAGAGAGCCCATAGGTTACTTTTTCCCTAACTGGAGTCTCCTTCTAGCCTGGAGTAATTTTGAAGTCTCTGGTTGTATTTTATTGTGTCATGCAGTATCAGGGCCTTCTGTGTTGAAATGGTGAGTCATATGTCTCCGAACGAAAGAAGAACTTTCCACTTGGGGCACAACACCCCCTCACAGGTCAGCTGAGAAGCTCAGGCTGGTAGAGGAGCCATATTTCAAAACAGTGGCTCTTCAAAGTTACCCCTAATATGGCTTTTCCAACCAAGTGAGTAACATGTGGGAAAAGGGAATTTTTCTTTGGACTTCTGGGCCAATGATGGCTGAATTACACAAGCTGAACCATGAACAAACAAACAAGCATGCAAAGCCAACCCAGAGCATCCTCAGCCTGATGTAGCTCCAACGTTTCAGTCTATGCAGGGCGAGCTCTGCAACCTCCTAGACTCTAATCGCTGCTTTATTTCCTGCAACCCAGTGAGTGTTATTGGGCAGTATGCATACGCAAGTGCAGGCAGCATCTTGGTACAAGACCTGCCAACTTCTGCATGCGTCAGGGCAATGGCAATCACTTGCTGAATGTGCTGAACAAAAGCAAGATGTGCTTCTCATGTAGAACCCAGGCAAGTTGAACAGATGCCCTGACCAATCTCTTTCAAGCAGTGGCTTAGAGATCACGATTCCTTCCATTGTGCATCTCTGTCATCTCGGACAGTTATCTCTTCTAGCCTGTGAGCAGAGGCAGAGGGTGAGCCGAGAATCTCATGTGCTGTTAGAGGCCGGGCTCCAAAATAGCAGAAACCACCACTACTGACAACACAGTGACAAGAGCTGTCCCAGGCACCCAATTTGCCTGAAAGTGAGTCAGGGAAGGAAAGCAGCCCCCAGGTCTAGGAGGCCAGTGAGCATTTAGGTGATCTCTGTCACATAAACCAACAAACTGGACAACGGTGGCATTTCAGTACCTGACACAAGTCAGTAGCAGTGAAATGCTGAGTAGACAAATACACAGAGGCTTTAAAGGGCACATGATACATATTTACCATCAACAGATGGTCCAAAAATAAGCACTTCCATGGAAAATGTGCAGGCAGCATCATCTTAAAAATAGCATATTTAAGAAATGACTTTGGAATTTTAGGAGCTTACTCAGATGGATCTTTTCAGTTGTTTTCTCACTAGCCAAATGACCACATCTGTCCTTTCTGCTGATCTTATGGTTCCGTATTTTTCCACTTCCTTGTTCTCTAGTGAGAGGGGACTTGGCACATCAGCTTCCCCGTATATATCACTCCTTTGGATCACCCACAGCTCCTAGCATTAGTGCAATTGCTGTTCAATACTAGAGTACATTAAATTAATGTATTAGACTCCAGTAGATTATCAATAAGTGAGTAGAACTGAATTATAATTGATGAGAAATAATTTTGCATAAGTGCCTTCATCAGCTTCATAATTACAACTTGTCACTCAACTTTAAATTTGGCCAACTATGTCCCAGGCAGTGGGGTCTGTGGACCTAAGTACGTGTTGTAGAGGTCCCAGAACTGAATGAAATTACCACAATTATAGTTAATCAGTTTTGTGACTCTGTGTGTTACGATGCTCTCTTTGATGAAACAAATTCCCGCTTGGGTAGTCTTCTCTTCGTAAGTTGATTAAGAGAACCAAATATCACTCTTCTGGGGTAGTCTTCTCTTCGTAAGTTGATTAAGAGAACCAAATATCTCTTCTGATTTGAAAATCCATCACAAAAAGGAGACATCAGCTGTCAATGCCAAAATACCCAGGACGGCGGCTTGGCATGTCAGGGAAGAGAAGGGATTGGAAGAACCAGTCCAGGATCACACATCATTTTAGAATCCAACTAAATCTTCTCACATTGGTTGCATTTTTCCTCTGGCATCCTAAAAGTCACATAGCTTATGACTGATAGATACAGCGTCTTACGCAAATAATCACTTGATTGTGGAAACACACTTAGGTCAAGGTGTGCTTTGCCTCCTTCCACAGATCCTCACTGAAGTTCAGTCGTTAACTAGCACACGCTGATGGATGTCCTTGTCTCACCATACATTACTGAAATACATTTTATATTGGAATATAAAAGCCCTGCAACCTTGAAGACACTGTAAAGCTAACTTTAAAATGTATTTTAATTTTTCCTAAATTAGAACCCTAGTCTAATTCGTAACAGCCCTTTAAGATACATTAGACTCCTCACTCCCTGAGTATCTTGCAAGCTGAATTTGACTTTTTAAAACATGTACTTATCCACCCTTCAGAAAGGCAGCATTTTCTTTTCACAGTGCACCTACAGAAAAGTAGCAAAAAATATCATAGACAGCAATGGGTTAGAGATGAAGTTTCGTGTGAATCAGTTTTCTCCCCTTGTTTGAGTGTGCAGTCTTCACTTTGTGTTGATTTAAGGGAAGAAACTTGGTATTCAAGGCAAATACTTATCAGAATACAATTTATTCAGAATGGCTTTCAACCACAGGCTCAGAATATTTGCCTGGATAATCACTGAAGCTAAAACATGGGTAGCTAAAATGTTTTCGCTACTAACCTGATCACTAGCTCAATTCTGGCATTTTAATCTAAATTTTCACTAAAATTATGTCAGGCATGTTTTTGTTGTGTTTCTAGAATTTTATGTCTTATATATCTTATGTAAAACCTAGCACTTTAGGTTCTTAAACAGAATCCATATGCATGTGACACTCCTAGCCAACCTAGCAGCATTAGACAGTGGCCTTCCAGCCACTTCCCACATTGAAACTGTTTAAACACACTCACTACACTTGGGTTCGTGTTAACCCTCTGAAGCCCAAACAGAAATCCACAAATGAAGCAATGGCTTTGCTATTACGTATAGTGCTGCAATGAATATCCACATGCATGTGTCTTTTTCTTTTTCTTTTTTTTTTTTTGAGATGGAATCTCACTCTGTCACCCAGGCTGGAGTACAGTTATGTGATCTCACCTCACTGAAAGCTCCCCCTCCCGGGTTCATGCCATTCTCCTGCCTCAGCGTCCCGAGTAGCTGGGACTACAGGCGCCCCGCCACCACACCCGGCTAATTTTTTGTATTTTTAGTAGAGACAGGGTTTCACCTTATTAGCCAGGATGGTGTCGATCTCCTGACCTCGTGATACACCCACCTCGGCTTCCCAAAGTGCTGGGATTACAGACAGGAGCCACCGCGCCCGGCTGCATGTGCCTTTATAGTAGAACAATTTATATTCCTTTGGGGATATACCCATTAATGGGATTTCTGGGTTGAATCGTATGTCTGTCTGTAGGTCTTCAAGGAATTGCTGCACTGTCTTCCATAATGGTTAAACTAATTTACACTACCACTAACAATCTATATGTGTTCTTTTTTCTCCACAATCTCACCAACATCTGTTATTATCTGACTTTTTAACCATAGCCATTCTGACTGGTGTGAGATGCTATCTCATTGTGGTTTTGATTTGCATTTCTCTAATACATGAAATCAACAACAAATGCCCACCAGTGATAGACTAAAGAGAATGAGGTACATGTACACCATGGAATACTATGCAGCCATAAAAAGAAGGAGATCATGTCCTTTGCAGGGACATGGATAGAGCTGGAGGCCATTATCCTCAGCAAACTAATGCAGGGACAAAAAAAAATCAAATACTGCATGTTCTCACTTATAAGTGGTAGTGAATCATGCCTGTAATCTCAGCACTTTGGGAGGCCGAGGCAGGCAGATCACCAGGTCAGGAGGTCGAGACCATCCTGGCTAACATGGTGAAACCCTGTTTCTACTAAAAATACGAAAAATTAGCTGGGCGTGGTCGTGGGTGCCTGTAGTCCCAGCTACTCAGGAGGCTGAGGCAGGGGAATGGCATGAACCCGGGAGGCGGAGCTTGCGGTGAGCTGAGATAGCACCAGCCTGGCTGACAGAGCGAGAGTCTGTCTCAAAAAAAAAAAGTGGTAGTTAAATGATGAGAACACATGGACACATAGAGGGGAACACCACACACTGGAGGTTATCAGTGGGTAAGGTGGGGAGAGAGAGAGGATCAGGAAAAGTAACTAATGGATATGGGTTTTAACATCTGGGTGATGAAATAATCTGTATAATACAAATATAAGTTTACCTCTGCAACAAACCTGCACATCCTGCCCATGTACCCCTGAACTTGACAGTTAAAATAAATAAAAATAAAACTATGGCACCTGACTCCTCAGGTAAGTTAGGCTAGATGTGAGAACAGTCCAACTCTTGGACGTGCCATAAGGACAGTTTCCCTTCTTGAGTCCCATGAATGCAGAGGTGCCAGGAAGCATCATCCCCAGGCTGAAGCTGTTTATGGGCACGTGATATGTATAACTTGTCCAAAGATAGGAATTTCCAGTCTCTGAAAAGAACAGAGGTACTTCTTAAAGAAGATGGTACTGGCC